TCTATGTCCACAGAGAGGGGCATGCGGGTAAAGGGAATCTCTCTCACCAGATCTTGCACTTTGTAAGGTCATGTCTCTCCAACATCCACCCCCCCACCTAGCTTGTCTACGGCGCTGAACTCCTTTTGATCTATACTTTGGTTTGTGTCCCATGGCTCGTTAGGAAACTTGCGAAGATCTCCGGGTTAAAAGTTGCGCCCGGGTGTCATTGTAAACAAAGAACTGTGACGCTAAAACTGCAACGATGACGTCAGTTGATATGAGAGAGAATAACATAGTCCGATGCGCCTGGGAATAAATATATACTAAAGAGGGAGAAGAGCGGTCTGTTTGTTTGCAGCGCTAAAAGGGTTATGCACGTCCCAGAGACAAAAGTGCAGCGGGATATCGAGGTACGAACGAAGATTGCGAGAAAGCTTTCGACGAGTGTCGAGTCGATTCAATGACAAGAAATTTTTTTTTCAGAAGAGATCATTGGTGAATGCAAATTGCAAGACGTAGATGCATTGTGACTGCGGATATGGCTGACGAATATGAGCCTTGTGGCAGAGAGGATAGAGAGAAAGGGGAAGCGACAGACGAGGCAGATATGACGGTTGGTTCCAGCACGCACTCTGTGCATTCCGCGTTGGTCCTTCCTCGCTGGCGTCAGTTTCAGGAGGAAAGGCAAATGGGCCCAGTACCTACACCGAAATTGCCACGACGTTGGCAATCTACATCTGCCAAGTCGGAATTTCGGATCCCAGACGGCCTCTCTTGGTTTCTCTCCATTTCCCAGCCTTGCAGTGCTGCACAACTTGGCGACGCAGATAGCCTAAATATAGCAACAGCCTCCAATGTGACTTTGGTGCTTTGTGCAAATTGGAACCTGGCAATTGCAGCTGTGGGGTCCATCAACGTGACGCTAGTCTTTCCTCAACATCCTAGGGTGTTTAATAAACGCGCGCTTACACCGGGCCAATCCTGTGCCCGCATTTCGCAAACACTCGCCACTTCTCACGCTCAACTGTCCAACATGCACCTCCCGCAGTAGACATCACTACACGGCTACATGAAAGATGCCGTATGCTCCCAGGTGCTCCTTTTTATGTAGATAACAGAGCCAGCGTCGACTGGCCCCCACTGGAGCTGCCCGCCTCTCTTTCCATTCGCCGAGTCCCTCGCCTGGCATTCTTCACCAACGTGCTCGCCCATCGTCGACAGCTTTAAGCGCCTTTCACATTCGAGCTATGACATAAGCCTCCACCATGAACCTTGTTCTTCATCCCCATTCTTCTCATCTATGTTATTTACAGCAGTTGCCTAAGCTCCTTTCGGCCGCGGTATGCAGCCTTCCCTAGAAGGGGCGTCGGGGTGATGCAATGTCCGCTCCTCCAATTTCCAGGCGCCCAGCTCTCGATGCTATTTTGGAGAACCTTCGTTGGGTGCTGTCTGTACTCGAAGAAGAAGAGTTACGCCGGCTTTGGCTGTTTTGGTGTTCCCAGCCGTGCCTGGAAACCGACTGCCATGGTGTCTTCACCATGTTCTTCGGTAACCGCGTTATATCCCCACCGCCCAGGGGAATACATTACCTTTTCCTGCTTGCCATCTACTCTAGCCGCGTGTCGAAGTTACTCCACGACATGCCAGGCGTTCCTAATCTTTCTCGAACAGTCCATGAGCCACAGTTCCTGGCCTGGGGTCCTAAACGCCACCTCCTCGATTCTGTAGCCGCCAGGCCGCTTCGAAACTTCCCTTTCGGCCAATGTTATCGACCCATTTCTGAACAAGTCGATTCTTTAGACACAGAAAGCTCGTTTCACTTCCATTTTCGTCTTGTGGGTTTCGTTTCATCCCTAGAGCCGCTCATGGTGGCATTGGCCTTCATCTTTTCCCGGGCAGGGTCATGAGGCTCGATGTCGTCTCAAGATCTTAAAGCTGCTTCATGTCCCTCCTTGAGGCCAGGCCAATTTGTTTCGTTTCTTTATCCAAGTTCATCAGCCTTCTTTACAAGGCTCTCTTGTCTTCCTTGGCATTCTTATTTCCCTTTTCCTAATCCATTGCCTGATCTGGTCTCCATCCCTCCACCCTTCGTTCCTCTTTCGCTCGACAGCACGTCTTCATTGGGCTCTGTCTTTCCGCAAGTCTCTCGTTCATCGACCAATTCGGCTCATTTCTCTTTTCGCTTTTTTTTAGAGAGCTGTGTCCTGTGCTGCAGGGAAGCACATGTGCAACTATACAACTTCCTCACTGTCTGGCCTTAATCGATAGTGTCAACATCGAATCGACTGTTGATCATCACTCACAGAGCTGGTCTCTTTGGACTACCCGGCAATTCCCCTTGAATTGAATTGACTCGCTCTTTTTTCCCGCCTTGGTTCATCTCAATATACTATTCAAATCCTTAGACAGACATCATAATGCCTAAACATCATCGAAATGCCAGTGGATCTCACCACTATGCGAATCAACTCTCCATGGCCACCACTCCCATGTACGCACAGCAGCCTGCGCGCATTCAAGTCCCGGCCAACTATTACACGATTCCGCCCGGTCCAGACTCGACCCCGATGCAGATGCCAGCGTCTCAGCAAGAGCCATACGACGCCTACGCGGCTGAAGCAAGTGCTCTCCCGCCATCCCAGCACCGAGCCTCGTCTGGAGCTTGGAGCACGATTGACGACAACAGACTCGTCCAAGCCAGAGCACAAGGTCTGAACTGGGGGCAAATCAAGGACGCGCATTTCCCTACCAAGAGTGCCAATGCATGTCGCAAGCGCCATGAGCGCCTGATGGAGCGCAAGGGCGCAGATGACTGGGACACGCGAAAGTTCCAGCAGCTGGCGAAAGAATACATGGGCATGCGAAAGGAGATCTGGAGCGGGCTAGCTGCTCGAACTGGTGAAAAATGGAACGTGGTTGAATCCAAGGTAAGGCTCCAACATGTGCTTAAATCCCATCATGTGTATACATGTACACATATCCACAACACCCTCGCAGCGGGAAGCCGTCCCCCTATTAATGACGATATTATAAACTTGCGCGCTAACCACATGACTCCTCTCTACTTTATTGCCATGTAGTGCATGTCAAATGGCTTGAAGAATCTACAAGCCGCGGCTCGGCAGGCTTCGCGCCGCGAACGCCTTGAGACTGGCTCTCACATCACAGGGTATGACGACGACAGCGGCATTTCCGGCATCGGCCTGACTCCTGTTGATGAACTAGACGCATCCTACAGCAGTCCTGAGACGAGCTCCTCGATCGGCGCGACGCACACCTTCTCCTCCAACTCGGCGACCGCCTACCACCTCCAGGGCCACGCAGCGACGCACACGCATCTACACCCCGTCGGCGGCGGTGGCGACCAGACATCCTACGGCCTCGGCGCATACGGCGCCTCCTACGGCGGCCACCACGAGTACTCGTCCAGCGCAGGCTCGTCGGCGAGCATGGGGCACAGGTACGCCTCCAGAGGAAACAGTCCCTACATGGACACGCAGCGACTATCCACCGCCGACATGGGCATCGACAGCTTGATCAACCGTTCCGCCCGCCGGTAGAGCACAACCGCAGCCGGCCACCCACTCACTTCTCTTCACTTCACCATGGGCACACTGCTAGTCATGCCTGCCGCCTTTGTGCAACGTGCTAGCTTTTCTTTCACCCGTGTCCTTTTCCTCTTTTCCTAATAATTTGTTAAACTCTCCTTTAAAAAGATGCAATTTTCATCGGTCTCATCTTCCCTCGCTCATTACAGGGTAGGATACTACGGCGAATGACCGAGGAGGCGTTATTGGATATATTGGCTCACGTATGGAGCTCTCTGCTGTGGTGATGGAGGGACTATGAATGACAAGCGTTTTACGTTTCCATTGTTTTTAGAGCAGCGCAATCTTGCAATCTGAGGACCCGTGCGGTGGCGGCAAGGAAGCGATTTACCTGGTTTGCTGTGTATGTAGGGAGGGACAAGTCTTGGTCAGTGTATACTAGACCATAGATTTCGGACTTTTCTTTGTTTCAGGATTTCCGTGCCGCAAAGGGGCCCTATAAACTGATTAATATGCCGTTCTCACGTTAGGGCCCGTGGGTATGGCCCTGTTTCTAGGAATTTGTCTGGGATACGTACGTGGCTCAAAATTGAAGCTAGTTGTACATATTTTAGGGACTTGTAAACTCGATAACCTCTGATACGTGGCGGTCTAGCGCGGTGCTGGGCTACCGTCGACATGTAAACCAACAGGCGCAGCAAAGGGCGTCTTCACTCACCCCTTTACTCTTTCTCTGTCCCTTCATCCATCGTTCCCGACCGATCCCCTTGCTTCAAACGGATTTTCAAAATTTGTGCTGCCACATGGAGATGAAGGGGGACATCTTTGTCCGCAAACAGAAGGCTGTTTTTATATACTTTTCCATGTAAATTGTCCAGAGAGTTGTCAGTCGGTGTTGTTCGTGCGGACCAATCATGCAACAGAACATATGGCATCCTTTCAGCCTAATCTCCCCGTTGAAAAATGTCAACTTCGCCCACGATCTGGGCGTGAATTGCTCGGCGGGCTACCAAGTGGCTAGTCTACTTAGTTGCTAACTGGTACTCTTTCTGCGACTAGAGGTGCGCTAGGTATTTATTGTATTTAAACTCTCTCTTATATGCCAATATATACCAATATATACTAGGTACCTAGTAAGGTATAAGCGCACCTAGCGAAAAGGATAAGCCCGCCAAGCAATTCACATCCAGGCCTGTTCATCCGCAGACCCAACATCCTAACTAATAGTGTCCCAAATAATATTAAAAAAATCACAGGCAAGAGTATTTGTAACACCAGAATGCAGAAGATTATTGACTGAACTGATACAGCATTCACGTTGGGCGACCTGGCTTTTACGATAATGTTTCACAGGAAGATGCAAAAAATAAACGATTTATAGTTGTTTCAAATTTAATTTAAACTATTTAATGCCGCTGATACGATTTTTAAATGCATTCGTCATGAATACGCCGTATTTCCTGACGTATTTCACAAGCGAGACGAAGGATTTGACTTGGCTACGCCACAGCAGTCACTTGACGAAAATGCATTTCGTGAAGACGTATCGTTCTTGATTTGTGACGGCTGTACCCACAATGCAGGGTTCTTCTGGAAGAAATTGCTGGCACGGATCATAATGCCAACCGGCTCGGCAGGCATAATGGGGAAGTCCTCGCAGCGGGGGAAGTGAGTGAGTCCGAACTGCATGTAGCACACGATATCCGTGTTTTCAATCGGCTCATCCCGATTTGACCAGTCAAGCACGCTCTGGTTGTACGGGTGGTTCTCCTCACCCGTGGACTGGCAGACATAGTCGCCTGCAGGGAAGAGCTCGTAGTCCTTGTAGGGCACAACCCAGAGACTCTTGCGCGCAAAGGCGGCGCGCTTGTAGACGACGCTGCCGGGCTTGGCAAGCAGCGGCGGGCAGCTGTTGTTGATGATCTTGTAGCCAATGGGCTTCTTGCAAGACTCGTTGATCTTGTTGGGGTTAATGATGTCCCAGGCACGCTGAGTCTCGTGGCAGTAGTTGACGGCAGCCTCTTTGGCCGTTCGCAGCAATGTCTTTTTGCAGTAGAAGCCGTTGCCGTATGGGTTCTCGGGAGACCCGACTGGGGCATCAGAAGAGACAGCATCGCTCTGGAGAATGGAGTTGTTGGGTCCGTCGATTTCGGGGTCAACGCGAAGAGAGAAGATGTGCTGGTGATTGTGCGCGTTGATGCCGGGCGCAACTTCCGTGCCGTAGGGAGCAGCAGTCTCCGAGCTGTGCATGCAATACGTGTTGAGCATACCAGTAAGCTTCATTTCCAGCTTATACGTGCCGTCAAGCATAAAGGTGTGGTAGAAGCCGTACTCGTAGTTGGCAGCCGTGATGATTTGTGAAATAATGAGCTTGCGGTCACGAGCCGAGATGACATTGGCATCACGGAAGTCGGTATGCTTGTATAACAGTCCATTATCTTCCTCATGTATACAAATCGCATTTTCGATAACGGCTGCCTGGCCTTTGGAGGTAGAAACAATGCCGTCGAGATAGTGGATAGCGCCCTTGCAGTCACATCCGAGCTTCAGAGAGTTCGTCATGAGACCGGAGCCGTATTCGCCAACGTCAAAGGCATGCTTTTTGTGATGAGGAGGATCTGGATTTCCGTATGGGACAACCATTTCAACAACGCTGATGCGATTAAACAGAGTTCGCTCGCGATTCTCGTAGGGGTCGTGAATTCTAACGTCGGACAAGACAATCCCCTCTCTGTAATTGAAGCCAATGTGCATTTTGTAGTTGGCCCAATGGATCTCATTGCCCTTCATCTGGAAAGATACTCCCTCAGGCTGGGTGATATCGATGGGCTTGAGCTTGTGTGGTTCGTAGCCGTCGCTGATGAACTCCGGGAGATAGTTGTGCTGCTCAAGCGGCACCTTTGTGCGCTCACCGTTGACACGGCGAACATCAACGCTCAAGACCTCTTCCGTCTCGGTGTCTGCAACAACAGTGAAGTCGAGCGGGTGAGCGTACTGGTTGTCGTATTCAGAGGCTCTGTAATAAGGAAGACCCTGCTGGAGACGACGCTCGAAGCCCCATCGGCGATCAACACCAATGGCCCAGGCGTCAAGATAGACCTTGGACATGTCGGTGATGCCAATCTCACGGCAAACCTCGATGACTCGGGGGTCGGCGCGAGCGATGCGTTCCATAACATCAAGATCTTCCAGAGTCAGGGTTGGGCTCACATCATGCACCGGCTTCCAGTCTTCGACTTTTGACTTTGTCAAGTTGACAACAACCTCGGCAACGTTAGGAGTGCCCTGCTCGAGGACGATAGCAAAAGCACGTCTCTCTGGGCGAGGACCCGTTCTCGATCGGAATGCAGCATACTCGTTCTTTTTGGGCTCGCGAAGAGTAATGCAGTTGAACTTGATTTGCTTGGGGCTAGCAAAATCACGAATGATTTTTGCAGTTGTGGAGATTTCGTACACCGAGAGTTGATCTATTTGGTTCAGTAAAATTACCAAGTTAGCAATAAAGTCTGGATTTACAACCGACAGACGGATTGGCTTCTATTTACCTAAAGGATGGACTTGTGACCGAAGTCCGGTTGTGGCCTGTGGTGCCTTGTCGTTGAGCTCTGGAAAGATGACATAACCTGGTATTGAGGTGGTATCCAACTCTGGCTGTTGCATGGTGGGGGCAGCCATGATGTGCTGTCGGGATGTTTGTGTGTGTATTGAACTGTTGTGTTGTATTGTTCTCGAAGGTCGAGAGAAGGATGTGTCTGACAACCTGAATTCCGGCCACTATTTAGCCTCATCAGTCAAAAGGATACAGGAATATATACTCAAGTAAAAGGTTCAGAAGTCAATGTGAAACAACCACATAAACTTCAGAAAATACGCGGACCGCTGGCCCGCGGCCACCGTCAATATCAGCCCACCCTGGTGGCCGTAAGTGGCAACTCACAACTCCTGGTGGATTTCGGTGCCGATGGAATCAATCAAATTGATTGCTGAGGCATTCAAGCCCAGCTGTTGGCAGCTAGAGTCAGAGAGAGCCTGGGCTGGTGGTTCGGGTCCCCACTGACCGAAGGCGTCCGAACCCAAAACACGCCGCTAAAAAATTTTGTCTACTCCTTCTAGTGACTGGCTGACCAACTGCATCTCTTTTGCAGCATTACTTTGAGATGAAGCAGGACGCCCTGGTAACGGCAACAACAAGGCTAATTGGGCCTCGGGCACCCGGCCGTGAAGTGAGCCTTAACATTGATGCAATTGATAGAACACCGCGAAGCCGGGTCGTCAAGTGATCTCTCCACATCAATCACACCCCAACAATCATTGCAGCATGAAAATTTGTCTAGGCAGGTTCCTGGTCGGCGGGTGATGAAAATGTTGAGGGTACTACAAGCACCGAAATAATTACCTATTGCTGCCAGCTCGGCGGTGTACCTGGACGGCTAGTTTGACTTGAGGCAATGGTCCCGATACCGCTTGGTTTCCGCAATTCCCGGATCTCGGAAATGCATCTTGGGGCTCCAAAGACGGACCCCGGTGAACCAGCGATGACTGTAGATTGCCACGGACATCGCGACCCGCAAAATCGCCGGACTAGAATGGCCTGGCTTTGAGCATGACACACGGAGCCCGAGACCATACATCTTCCGCGCATTTCGGTCGCCCGCGGGTGGCGGCGCTAGTTATTGTCGTGTGTGGAATCTGTGACAGGTTACTGTAGATATACTATGCGTTAAGGGCGGCCATGGGGGATGGACATGGAATGTGGCAGGGAGGTGTGGTTGATAGCTGGAGGGACCAATGAACTTGTGGTGCTGGGGCTGGATGACGTTGGCGGGCATGTGTGGCCCAAGATCTTCCCTCTTGGTCCGGGGTTATGGAAGACCTGGGGAACAATGCATGGATGCTTCTGTTTGGAGCACAGACTTCAGGCACAATCTGTTACCAAATTGGTAAACAATCAAAGTTCGCTGGAGAAGCTTTTAACTTTCTCGTTGGACCAGCGCCAATTGGGCGAACCCAGTGTTGTATTAGGACTGGAGTTGATCAGAATGTGGCTAAAGGCCAGAGTATTCAAGTAGCCTTAGTAATAAGATTGTTGCATCGCGCAAGGCCCGAGTCAACTTTATTCCAAGGTTATTCAATGCGGTCAGTGCGCACCGACGAGCCGATACAAGAGCCAGCCGACTGAAAACGACGGTGGAAAAGACTGTAGATAAAATCGCTTGATGGCCGCTGCCTTGTTATCTCTGTGGGTGCTCTGATAAACGTGGGTCAGGGTTTGGTGCCAATTGCTGGTGCGGCGATGTGATGATGAAATGGTAGCCAATAGTACCAAATGATGACGCATTCGGCGGCTGCGGCTGCTGCAATCTTCGATAATATTAGTCTAATGAAATACGACAAGCCGGCCAGTCTCAGTCATAGCCATGTACGAGGCCCAAAGTGGTGGGAAGTGCTTATCGGTACAATGCAACACTTGAAGCGCCGGGGTAATTCCCGTAGCTCGCCCTTGAGTCAGGGTCACAATCTCGCAGATAATGGTAATAGCGGTTCGGAGCACCGTGGCTGCGAATAAGTTCGTCGTAACCTTGGCATCGGCTTGAATGACTCCAGATGTCCAGATTGTATGTACGGAGTAGATTGCAGAGTCGGCCGTGTGCCCAGGAACTATCTGTCTCTCCTTTCTCTCCGCGGTTCTTTCCTCTCGTGGTCCCGCCTTCCCGCCAAGCCGGATTCCACCTGCGCCTTCCGTTTGCCCAAATTTTCTCCTTTTTGAGAAGGCATCTGCGCCGTCGGAAGAACCAAGCGCCTCCCAAATTTCCATTTCTCCAACTTTTCTCCAACGCAACGGCCTAGATCGTCGCCAACAAGGTGTCGACCCGCTTCTCCGACGCCCTCAACGCCTTCTGCGCCTTTGCGACGCCTTTGTAGCCCTCACTCGCCTCCACGTTCAACCATCGCCGTTATCGTGTGGCTCAACACTGGCCCCAAATTTCTGTCAGTGCCGTCCTACCACAACACAAATACAATCCGCACAAAACGGGAGCAATCCGCACACCAAGTCCCGGTCACGCTGGTCATCACCCCGCTGACCCCCTCCAGCATCCTCATGTTGTCCGCGTTGGTCCACGTTTTCAACCCCATGCCATTCGGTGCACCTCCCTAGACTCTGCAGGGCGCACCCCGGGATCGGGCGCTCCCCCAAGCCTTCTCATTGGGAATCGTGATAGCAGCGGTGGCCTTGGCTTGGGGTAATTGCGACGTGTGCTAGCCCTCTGCGTCGTGCGCCACCCAGCTCTCTGGGCCGGGCGAAGCGGGAATCGACAGGGAAAAGCCATTGTCAAGGTATTCTTGGGGCTCCCGTCTCCCTCCATACTACGGAATATATGGTTGGTGTGGCTGTACGTCCGAAACTGGCATTGTCGCTTTGTGCGACACACCCTCAGAGTTGACGACTCAGTTGAGCCAAGGCAATCATCCCACAGGTACCCCCAAGGTTCCCAGGTTCCCCGGTTTCTCGTGGCGTTTTTGAGGCATATCGTCTGTCTCCTCCCCAGACGGCATCTGACAGCCGCCCTTGGCGTTGGTTTTGCATACAAAGACTCTTCGAGTACTAAACTAGCCCTTGGGAACGTCTTGATATTCTCTGCCAGGTGTAAGCAGCAACTTGTTTCCGTTGCCCAAGTTGACTTGTCGGTTTAAAAGGGTTACATTGAGCAACCCTCAGAACACCATACTTACTCAATTCCCCAACAAGTTTTATTCTTTCACAGAAACGCATTCCTTCCTCCTTCATCCCGTCTCGTCTCCTCCCCCCACCCGAGAATCATCGGCAGATATTGCCATTTTGACACAGCTCTTTCCGAGGTCCCATCACCAGAGAATGACAGCGACCCTTTCGTTGAAAATAGCATGGATCAATCAAGCCAGCTGTATCAGAAAGATACCGTCGACGTGAACGACCAAGCCACCCGCGATGCGCAAGATCTCGCCGCACTGGGCCATGCCCAGACACTTAGTCGCAAGTTCAGTCTCTGGAGCATGCTTGCTTTGGCCTTTTGCGTGTTAGGAACATGGTCTACTATGGCTCAGGATTTGGCCACTGGCCTCGTCAATGGCGGCCCTGTAGGTATCCTCTGGGGCCTCGTCCTTGTGACGGCTTGCAACACCTGTGTTGCCCTTTCGCTGGGTGAACTCGTCAGCAGCATGCCTACGGCTCTCGGCCAGGCGTATTGGATCCAACATCTGTGGAACACCCCAACCGGCCGGTTCGCGTCTTACATGTGTGCGTGGATCAACACCTTTGGATGGTGGACCTTGGCGGCTTCCCAAATCGCCTTTATGACAGAGTTTCTCCTCTCCATGAAGCTCATGTTTGATCCGGAGTGGCCAGGCACCGAAAAAGGGTGGCTTCTCTTTATTGTCTACGTCGGCATCACCATCTTCTTTACCGTCATCAACTACGTGTCTTGCCGCAAGGAATGGATCCTCCCAACTTTTAACAACTTTGTGGGCGTTGGTTTTGCTGGCCTCTTTGTTGCCTTCTCCCTGGCTCTGCTCATATCCGTTGGTACAAAGGCAAATCTCTCGTTCCAGTCGGCATCATTTGTGTTTGGGCAGTGGATCAACCAGACGGGTTGGGGCGACGGCGTTGTGTGGTTCCTCGGCCTGGTGCAGAGTGCTTATGGCTTGACGGCGTTTGATTCCGTCATTCACATGGTGGAGGAGATTCCTGCGCCTCGACGCAACGCCCCAAGAACCATGTATCTTGCGGTCCTGATCGGTGCTTTCTCGGGCTTCATTTTTATGGTCGTCTGCCTCTTTAGTATCCAGAGCGTGGATGGCGTCTTAAATCCCGCATCTGGCAATCCCTTTATTGAGCTTGTCCAGTCAACCATTGGGCAAGTTGGCGGAGCCGTCATGATTGCCCTGTTCATTTTCAATGGCCTGGGTCAGGGCTCCAGCGTGCTCACCTCGGCTTCTCGACTGACGTGGAGTTTTGCGCGAGATGGCGGGTTTCCCTGGGGCGCCTGGTTCTCTCACGTTGACGAGACTTGGATGGTTCCTGGCCGCGCCCTGTGGCTACAGTGCGGCATCATTTGCCTAGTTGGAATTCTGTACCTGTTTGCCAGCACCGTCTTGCAGGCTATTCTCAGCGTCAGCACCATTGCTCTGACCATTTCTTATGCTATGCCCATTATTTCACTCGTGGTGGTTGGCCGCGATAAGCTGCCTCCTGGCGGAGAATTCAAGCTTGGCCGGCTTGGTCCCGTCATCAACTGGGTGTCAATTATCTACTGCGCCATCACAACGGTCTTCTTCTTCTTCCCAACCACACCGAACCCAACAGTCAGTGAAATGAACTTTGCAATTGCTGTATTCGGCGTTATGCTGGTGCTTTCCATTGGCTTCTGGTTCGTCCAAGGCCACAGAACATTCATGCAGTCAGGGGAGATGGCCCCAGACATCCAAGGCATCTTGTACGCGGAAAACTGCGAGTTGAGCCAAGACGGATCTTCCAGCGCGGAACCTCGGCCGGACAACAAGATCAAGGGGCAGACAAGCGAATTGACCAGCGACTGAGAACAGAGTGGAGATGGGGTTCCCCAGGATTGCCTCATCTAGACTGGTTTCAGTCGGGGCGAAGCAATCAATAAATGGAAATGGAATGCGGTTACGGAGTTCGGGGGAGGGGAATATGGGGTCAAGGTGGACTGCGAGATTTTGCTGGCAAGGGGTCCCACCGAAGGTATTTTGGGTACGGTGTGTGCGAGGAGTTGTATGTAGTCATGCCCAAGAGGGGCATTCTTAACCTCGGGGTATTTTGGGTGCTGCTTGCACAAGTGCCGGGGTAGAAGCGCTACCATAGAGGCTTGACTCGACGTATTTGGGTTTCAGGAGGCATGTATCTCGAGGAATGAAAACTGGGGTGGAGATTTGATTGATGCTTACAGAGAAAGTGGTTGTTGATTCCTTCTAGCATGGCGCTTGCGATAGTGAGGAAACATGATGTAGCAATCATTTTATCGGGTTGCCTAATTTTATTTTTGGCCGTTGGTACTAGTCACCCTGTTGCCTGTTATAGGAAGAAGATGGCGTATGGGAATAATCTCATTAGCGTGCACAACGTTATTTCACATTGCCTCTGGTAGTAGGACTGGCTTACATAGGAGGAGGGCATATATACAGTTCTTTACCCGTTTCCATGACTGTGGTTTACGTTGTTTGTATTTGTTTCTCTGATTACATGCGACTGTGAGGAGACACAGCACGACACCCACTTCGTCTATTTACATGACTTCGTTTCAACATGATCTGTATTGGTTCCCCCCCCACTTCACAGCTTTGAACCCAAGTTGACGTGGACAGCCTTGGTTTCCGTGTAAGCGGCGAGACCAGCCTCGCCCAACTCGCGGCCAATGCCGCTCTGCTTGACGCCGCCAAAGGGCACCTGAATCTCGGAGTCGTTGGACGAGTTCACCCAGACCATGCCGGCCTCGAGAGCGGCAGCCACCCTGTGCGCACGCTCGATGTTTTGGCTGAAGACGGCGGCGGCGAGGCCGTAGATGGAGTCGTTGGCCAGGGCCACGGCATCGGCCTCGTCGGCAAAGGGCGTAATGGTCACCAGGGGCCCAAAGACCTCCTCCCTGAACACGCTCATGTCCGGCGTGACGCGGGAGAAGACGGTCGGCTCGATGAAGTAGCCGCTGCCGCTTCCGGCGGTCTTCTGCGCCGAGCGGCCGCCGGCCTCGAGCCGGGCGCCCTGGGCCTTTGCGCTGTCAATGTACGACAGGATCTTGTCGTACTGGGCCTGCGAGACCTGCGGCCCGTGGGTGGTCCGCTCGGCAAAGGGGTCGCCGATGACGACGGACGTCTTGACCACGTCGAGGAAGGCGGCGACGAAGGCGTCCACGACGGACTCCTGCACCAGGAGGCGCGAGGTGGCGGTGCACACCTGGCCCTGGTTGCTCATGATGCCCACGTACGCCCACTTGGCGGCCTGGTCGATGTCGGCGTCGCTGAAGACGAGGAGGGGCGACTTGCCGCCCGTCTCGAGCGTGATGTTCTTCATGCCGATGCTGGCTGTCTTCATGATCTCGCGGCCGGTCGTGGTCGACCCCGTAAAGGCAATCTTGTTGATGCCGGGGTGGGAGGCGAGCGCGGACCCGGCGTCCCTCCCGAAGCCGTTGACAATGTTGAGCACGCCGGGGGGGAAGCCGGCCCGGCGGGCGAGGTCGGCCAGGTACAGGATGGACAGGGGCGTCTGCTCGGCGGGCTTCATGACGATGGTGTTTCCGGTGGCCAGCGCCGGGCCGAGCTTCCACGCCGCCATGGCGAGCGGGTAGTTCCACGGGATGATTTGGGCGCACACGCCGACGGGCTGCTTGAGCGTGTAGGCAAACTTGGCCGTTGTCGTCGGGATGGTCTGGCCGTGGATCTTGTCGGCCCAGCCGGCGTAGTAGCGCAGGCAGCCGATGACCTCGTTGAGGTCCTCGTTGAAGGAGACGCTGTAGGGCTTGCCGTTGTCCCACGTCTCAATTGTGGCGAGCACGCGCTGATCCTGCTCGATGAGGTCGGCCAGCTTGTGCATGAGGGCGCCGCGAGCACCGCCGGATATGTCGCGCCATGAGGGGCTGTTGAAGGCCGCGCGGGCGGCTGTGACGGCGCGGTCAATGTCTTGCGCCGAGGCTGCTTCCACGGAGCAGATTTCTTGGCCGGTGCTGGAAGACGTGAGTTGGGGGACTTGGCATTCGGGGGGGCCTGTGTTACCTTGGGCTGATGCTGGTGATGCGCTGCGATGAAGTCGACTTGACGAATTCATTGTTGATGAAGAGGCCGGTCGGCAGGGTGAATTCCACCCCGTTGGGAGCTTTGAGCTGCACCTGGAGGGCCATGGTGCGGATGCGGGTGTGTATGTGGGAGGTTTTGCGTCGGTATATGGTGTTGCTCAAGCTTCTGGCCGATCGGGAGAGCATCCACAGCGCGAGGGTATAAATTGAATGAGAGTTGAGGAGAGTGTTGAAAATAGACGAAAAGAAAAGAAAAGAAAAGAAACGAGGGAAAAAATCTCAGGGTTCGGCGCAGTTCTTGTGTCGTAGTCGATGCCGTGACCGGGGGAAGCTCCCCAGTTTTCTCAAGGCGGCATGTCACTCTTGAGTCTTGCCCCTCGGGTTCCGTGGCACGTCGACTTTTGCAGCTCTGGCAAGTTGTTATAGGCGGGGTTTTCCCCGTTTTTTCTTTGTTCCGTTTGTGTTTTGACTCGACGGCACAGCTTGGGAGAATGCCGAGTCGTGTTCGATATTCCGTCCTTGTCCGTGCCTCCAAGTACCAGCTGGATGTGAACTGGTTCTGATGGCGCATACTCATACGCACACAACTCTCACCGGACAGCAATTTCTCGTCTCACGGCGGGAAATATCGTCATCTTCACCCTGAACCAGGGGTAGACGCATCAATCTCGCAAGCCCAAACCCAAGCCCAAGTATTTCCAAGTACACCTCCTTGATCCCATGGCGACGCCAACCCCCATACCCCAATACCCCAGATGACGCCGACCACGGCGGCACACGATCTGAAATCTGGCTGGGGTTTGTCGGGGGCGATGGGCGGCGGGCCACGGCTTCGGGCTCCGCGGGCACCAGAAAGCGGGCGCCGAGCGGCACGGCACACGAGACCCACTTTATTATCCGGTTGTGGAAGTCTGGACCGGGATGTTGGCATTTGCGCTCCGTGTGTCCGTTAACAATGAGAATAACCGGGTATGTAGAATATCGCTGATATGGGGAACGGCATTGGATGAACACCTTGTTTTACTTTACAAATGCATCTGGCGGTCGCTGTCGTCGTGGTGGCCGTTACGGACCAACGGGCGGTTGATGTTTGCCAGTCGACTCACGGGTGCGCACACGTGATGCACCTCCTCTTATTCTGTGTGCAAGCAAGTCATTTTGTAGCTCTTCTTTTGCCTCATGGCTCTAGGTCTTGCATGTCGATATTAAATCCCCCGTAGCCTCGGCTCAGCGGCATGGTCTGCTCGAATACTCCCGCCAGGCATCCTGTTGTGAGACGATGACGTGCCGTGTCAAAGAATTGATGTATCATTTGCGCGGACTGCCCCATCTCGAAAGCGACGACTACATCTTCCGAAACTCTCTCGTTACTAGTCAAGCAGATGTGTTTGTTGTGAGATTGCCAGCGACAACAAGCGCAAAGATGGCCTGAGCGAAGTCGACGCGCAAAAGGCTCGTTACTTGATGCAAATCCAGCTTATCGACCAAAGGACTGTCGCTCTACTTGTCGAATATGTTTGTTGATATGGTCTCATCTCCATTATAAGATATACTGCTCAGAATCTCGCCAGGCGCAGGATTGGGCAGTGGTTAGTCACTCAAGGCAGGGGCCCGTCGATGGTAACGGAAAACAACATCATGAGATCCCCATTCCACGAGGTATGTCGAGCGGCTCTAAGAAAAAGCCTACTACTGCCGGCTGAATGAGTATTTTTCGTCCTGAAGCCGTTGGACACTCCGCTACCTCAGCATCAGCCATGATGTACTATTCGATTGCGTATTGCAACAAAAAAAGAAGGAAACACCCACCACCCATGTGATACTTTCCTTTCCCTATTCCAGGCAATATCGATGATTTTTGCGTAAGCACCTGGACCCCAACGCATTACCGGTCAAGCCATCCAGTGGTGTTTGTTTGCATCTAAGCGTCCACATTCGTGCCCTGGGCTTCGAGACGCCAGTTCGGTGATTGTCAAAATTACCGTGGCTTACAACCCTGCTCTTTTAGATAGCTTTTACTCATGTTTTTTATTTAATGAGGCAGCGAAAACACCGCTATTTTGTCATAGATACACAGATATATATGTAGTATTCTGGATGCTATATTCCGCGACTGTGCTGTATGCAAGCACCTATTAACAATTGAATCCTTGCATGGCACCTTTTCACCGCTATAACTCCATGTACAACGCGTATATAGCTCTTTGTGGTTCTTCAAAAAGTTTGAGGTCCATCAAGGTCCAAGTAGAGGCAAGTCACAATCGGCAGGTGCTTGACTACGCATATTTTCCACACTAAGAGCCGTGGAGGAATGATGGCCAGCCCAGGACAAGGACATGCTAGCTCTTTGTGGATTTTTCTGGTTCGTGTGGTTTTCGTAAATTTAGCGTTCTCTCATAGCATAAAATTATTCCCTTAGGACGGCGATACAGCATTGCTTGACTAGCATTGTAGACCTTGGCAGCAAGCCAAGGGCTTATATTGAAGTCTTATTTAATAATAGAACTATGAATTCTAGGATAATATAGTCAAAGACAAGAAGTACTTGCCCACCACTAGGCTTCTTGCCTCCCACTGCAAGTGTTACCAAACAATAGTACTAACCTAATCGTTTAAGCACTAAAGATACTTCTTAATAAAAGAGATGTAGTTGCCGACTCTCGTGCACACCATGGGATTCTTAGGAGTGCATGGCCAGCGGCCGAGACCAAATGACACGACACCAATAAGCTGTCGCGTGTCCTGGTCAATAACAGGACCGCCGCTGTCTTTATCACATAAAGCCTTGCCATCTCCACCAACACATATAACCGTAGTTCTACCAGATAAACCCTCAGGAGATAAGTTAAAACAGACCTCGCGGTCGCGGACAGGCATAGCAACCTTGCTGAGTTGCTTGGGCCAAGGCGTTATATCGGGTTGATAGCCCCTGGTCTCTGAATGAGCGTGTTTTTCTGCAAGTTCAAAGGTAAACAGCACTTACCAGCCGGCACCTATGGCGATTGAGTTGGGCACAGGGTCCGAGCCGTCCGCCGGCAGTGTCACATAGTCAATCGTGTCGCTCCTCTCAACCGGAGTTTCCAACTTCAAGACGCCAATGTCATTGACGGCATAAGGACTTCCAGGGTTACCAAGTACATAATCAGGGTGTTCGTGGCGAGACTTGACATTTACAACGACGCCGTCGGTTGATATATTCTATATATTATTAGTCTTGTGCGGCGTATCAACGAGGAGAGGTGAGTAGACTTACCGCCGTTCCCGCCTTTATCGAGTAGGTGCCCGAAACGCAATGGGCAGCAGTAACAACAGTAGTGCTGTCCACCAAGGCCCCTCCGCATCTATGGCCACCGCGTTGTCCTTGGAGACTGACCATGAAGGGAAGTTCACCATCTTTGACATCTTCTCCGCCGGCAGTCCTCTTTTCAATAGTTGCTGCCGTTGCCGAAAGAGCGGAAACCGCGAGGGCTAGCATCATGGCAACCTTGTGAGCCATTGTAAATACAGGAGTCGGGACAGCTAGTGATGGTCTTGGAGAATGTCAAAGTGTGAGATGCAGATGAATCGCAACGAAACGGTATAAATGGGCAGCTTGTGGTATTTATACTCGCACCTACACATTTATTGAGGCTTTGAATGATAGGAAATATTTGAGAGACGCGTAAAACATGATCAAGGATCGGCAGCTCAAGAGCACAATCCATCATCTCCGTTCCCGGGCTCGTCTGATTCAAGGACTTGTATCCACGCGAAACGTCTGGGACAATGTCAAGGAGAGCGCCCATGGATACCTCGTTTGCCGAGAAAATTAACTTGACGAGTCATGCGATCTCGAGACAAGTCATAGGAAATACAGGCCAGGTGAAGATGGATTATGCACTGGCTAGTTGTGCGTGGTCAAGTGGGACGAACCATATCAAGTCCTAGGATAATTCTCAGGTGCTACTCGGCATTAGTCTCTGCACAATATATCTACTCCGTGTTTGAAGTAATCCAAACCGCAATGAGATGTTGCTGGAGTTTATTTTCTGCAGGGATTGCCGACATCCCTTGCAAGGACCCAAGAGTTTACTTACCCCCCTACGGTACTGACCGCCGGCTAGGAAGCACCGAATCAATCGATAGCCTGGCACCATGTGCTTACAGGGGCCTGTAGCAGAGCGTTGGGCTGACATGGAGGAGTGAATCAACCGAATCTAGTCAATTTCACAATGTCTATCAAATACGCCTAACCTTGCGGCGCCTTAGTTGCATATATCCGCTCTGTTCCTCTGACACTGTCAGAAGACTCACACTAAAGCGATATGGCTTAGTGTCAGTGACAAACAGTTGCAGTTGTAAGCCGAGCCTTTTGGGTAGATTGGCGGTAGGATACTAGGAATCACGATGAACACCCGCGCCTGATTGTCAGCGCATTGAGCCGGCTCGGTAGTTGGCCGGAATTGGCATGTATAGTAAGTCCCCGTTTAATAAGCATAGATTAATATTATTCGGTTCTCTACGGCTCCACTGTAAAAGGGTCGTCGGCCCCGTCCCATGCTCGTTGCGCGAGTAAGCCTTTCTTGGCTGAGACGGGCACAATGACATAACGCCAACACCTATGCTTGCAGGGTATTCCCTGAACCCAGCATAAAACATCGGCTAGGAAATAACTATGGGATGATTAGAATACCCGGATGAGTTGCAATTAGAGACAAGCTCAAGTCTAGGAAGATGTTTGACAGTTTTGGTACTTGGGGGCTAGGATCGCGAGTGCCCTGGCCTGCTGCGGTCTGTCATGTATACACAGGCCTATATAATACCTAGAACAACGAAATATAATCTAGTTGGCCGAGTCTGAATGGAAACCTTGCCGATCCTAGACATAGAAGCTACGCGTTGGAATCATGCTAGCAGAGTGCGCAAAAAGCTGTAGTCATGGCTGGCGGACACTCCCACATGAGGCGGCTGCCTATTTGAATTCAGCGATGCCATGAAGAACAAAATCATCGGCTTTGATTCTCATTACAATATTCGGTAAAGAAGAGCATAGGATAAGTCCAAGGATCGGCGGGTGTATTTTTATGCAATCTCCGCTTATTGCTTGCAAATGACTCCATTATGGGTAGCCTTCAAGTCGTACGTTTTGCTGTGGTAACCATGACAAATAATAGACCGAAACGGGCATTCCGACTCAGCAACGACACGCCATGCGCGTCTCATCGCACTGTTGCTGCTTTCGATTGCATAATGTGCCAAGCGCGGCGGTGGACGTGGAAGCCCACCTACGACCTGTGGAATGGCAACTCGAACAAATACCTGTGACTATCAGGCACATCCACTGCGTACACAGCAGAACTCGGAGCTCACTACTATTATTGTAGCGTGATGGTACGGGATGTGGGTTGAGACATAACTACTATCCTTACAGCATGACAGTACGGGATGTGCGCTGAGACATTACCGACTACAGAAGATATCAACTAAAGAGACTGCTGATAATTTTCTATCCCTGCACAAGAATGTGCCAATGACTCGTAGGTAGTTAAACACGACAATATACCATTATCATAGCCGGTCACCAAGTTCATGTCAAGCAGCTCATCAGCTCATCTAGCACACTATTGTTACACGGAGGTCACGTAGCATTGCAGGCACGGCTGTCCCTTGAACCTGACGATAATTACACAAGAGTTCGAGACCTATTTGAGGCCATGGGCTTCCAGGCTCGCTTGCTCACCGCTGCTTTACACGAATACGGCCCAGCTGCCCCCAGAGGCCTTGAGGAAACTAGAGACCTTTCATATTAGAGCGAATTATTAGCGGAATACAACCGTATTCCAAGCCCTTATATAAAAGCCCTTGTCACAATTGTCCGCCGAGAAAAGTGGAGGAAGAGTGTATATCTACGTTGCTATATACTAGAGTAGCACCGAGGTCGGATAATATCGCTTCTGTGAATTGGTCTTTCATGGAAGCGAATTGCCGAACAAATTCGAGAGGCGTCTTTGGCCCACGAGGATGAAGCTTTACATGCACGGGAGGAGCTCGCAATGGGTGTTGCCAAAAGTTTGTCACGTATGTCAATATAACGCCTTTAATACCAAAGACTTTTATTAGATGAATCTAGTTATTACTCCAAGCCCTCACTGAGCCGTTGTCACAATTATACACTTGCCCAAACCGATAACACCTCGGATATTAATATTCGCAAAATGATTCCCGACCTAAACAGACACTTGAGGCAATTTTTGACAGAGAGAAACTTCACCAAATCACACAATCCTTCCTCTCCTGGGTTGAGCCTGGAGGCGGGAGAGAATATCTGACCAAGTGGCCACTGGAGCTTACTTAGCCTAGGTCAATCTCATGACAGCGTAGATGACAGAGACGCCAGCTCCTTTTCAGCGACCCGTACGTGCCACCCGGCAAGAGTACTGGGACAGAGTCCGGGGCTGTAGTCTGCACTACGGCATACATGTATGCCATTACTCAAACTGAGGCGGCCAAGTTGTTACTTAAACTGCACTGAATCTTGATAAGCCGGTGGATTTAGTTATGGGAGACATGATACGGCCAGGAGGTCTTGTGGCATACAGCGTGGCGCCGCGTTTCAAGAGAAGACTCTTCAAGTTGCCTGGAAAGAATACTCAGGTGGAAAAGATACACACTCTACCCAAGGCACGGTTTATTACAAGTTGATCAAGAAAATGATAGTACTTAATTAACGTAACTTTTCTCAGAAAGGATTTGAGTAAGATGGTCTTGGACATGTAAGGTGCATCAGTACGATGGTATAACCTCGGGCGCTGTTTTCAGCCGACTTGCGCAACCATCATGAGGCAACAACGAACAGCAAGTGTGACGCACTCATGTCTAGCAGCATGTTTCACTTTTGACACCAGAAGCTCCCGTAAGCGTGGCAACAACCTCCGCCTCGTGGGGGATGTGTGGCCGCAACATGATGACAAAGTGATGTAACAGATGCGTCATGCCGCTGAATCGACGTCTGATATTGGCTGAAAGCCAGTCAAGTAGTTGCCTCGCGCAACGGCCCGTTTCGGCCGGCAGTTGTATTTTGTAATCAAGGTGACATGTCAGATTTCTCCGTGATGTACCGAGTACATATTGGGAGCTCTGCATGAAACAGGCTGTAGGGTTGCAATGTGACGTCGAGACTCAAGACAAACAAGACAGCGAGTCAGCAAGCAAGCAGCGTGCTATTAAAGAATTGTGGCGCCTCCCAGTATTTTCAACGTCTATTTTCAAATTCCCCCTTATGCTTCTAGTCTGTTTCAAACATCAACATTAAGGTGACAAACGCGCCGTTGGACCCAGTTACAACAACATGCCAAACCGCCACGGGAATACATACGCAGAATACTACAATGACGAGGATTACAGACCATCTCGGTCGCCAAGTAGGTTAAACCAAGTCGTCCACGGGCAGTCCCACGACGCCAAAGAGATGGCCAAATCGGCATTTGCTAGCCATGCATCCAGGCGTCAGGCAGAGCCCTACGAGTATGAAGCCTACTCCGACCGACGAACGCGACGCCATCACGATTACGCACCCGGCAATGGCCACAGAGAAGCAGACTACTATCGTCATGACGGCCATCACCCACGGCGAGGGCGATCATTGCACAGCGAGGAGAGATACGTCGGCGGGAGAAGAGACCATTCCCACCACCGTCGACAGCCGGGGGCGCGATCCCACAGCGAAAACCGCGTCAAAGAGGCTGCAACGGCGGCCCTGGCAGCGGGTTTGGCGGAGGCTATCAAGTCTCGCCACAGCCGGGACCAGTCCAGACGTGCTATTACAGCGGCGGCCGGAGCGGCTGCAGTGGATGCTCTTGTGAGCAATGGGGAAGACGGGAAGAAAGGACGACGCATTGCGGAGAGCGCTGTTGGCGGTCTCTTGATCGATCGGCTTGCAAACGGCAGCTCTAAGCGCTGAGAAATATATGTCTGTTTTTGGCTACACTTTCATTAGTCTCCGGACTGAACTTACGGGCGGCGGGGAGGCGTATTTAAAGGATGTATTATATCGTAGCGTGTTGAATGAAGAACGAGACTTGTAGTCAACATGGCGCACAATTATACAATCTGGTGGTCTCGCGATGCTATCAAGACCAAACTGCAATAGGTCCTAGTCCTCGACAATGGTGACGACCTGACGCTCTTCGGCGCTGGACAGGCAGATGATCTTGCAAAGAGCTGGTACAAATACATCCCTCAAGCATTTACGGAGACGGTATTATGACAAGCTGTGATAGACGAATCGCTGGCATTCTTGTATAGGGAGTTTCATGGAGATGCCTGCCCGCACGAATCAAGACGACGGATGGAAACTTGACGCAAGGGGCTAACGCCGCGCTCGAGGGTATGTACTCCGTACAGCTTCTCTATTCAGGAGCTTGTTCACGGCCATGTTGAAAATTGCATGTGCGGTGCGATATACGCGGATTGAGACTGGGCAACTGTGGCTTTGTCCTGAAGGTGGAATGGGGATGTTGAACGGTGTCTTGTTGCACCAAAAAATGGGCGTGGCCGCGATACTTTTGTGTGCTCCTTTTTTGATGGCTGGTGGTGTTGTGGCTGGTGTACAGCCACAGCCACATTTCGACAACGTGATAAGCTGCATCTCACCTCAAGGTCCTCGGGATATCATTCCTTCCTTGTAACAAGGACTAAATTTGCCATCGAAACATCACCTCATTGTATCAGAGTATCCTTTCATAGTGCACAGCTCTGCGGATCAGAAAGCAAAAAAAATGAGTACTCCTCCATACAATGTACCGTTTGGTGACGTAAATGGCATTATCAGCAAGTTGGAATGCGAACAAGCCAGGCAACGGGCAGTCGACCGGGAGACAACACCAGAAGCAATCTTCCAAACGGACGCGAAGCATTCGTACAAGTTGGAATGCGAATTGCTGCACGCAAAATATGAAGACGACGAGATTGATAGAATTCGCCTAGGCATCGCCGATTCCAAATACTGGCAAAAGGACGCTGATTCCGCCGCCCATTGCTTATTGACTGCGTTGCTCGCCAAATCGCGCAAGAGGCATACTACTGATGGAGTGACCGACTTTAGGAGCATGAGTACGGAGCTCAGGCGTCTCTCGGAAGAGCAGGGACAGAGCTCGCAGCAGTTTCGCCGACAAAGAGACACAATCACTGACGAGCAGTACTGGGAAAAGGAAGCCGAGCATTTCAAGCGTGAGTCAGCTCGCCGCGAGTTTGAGACGCGAGAGAAATGGAGAAGCGACCTTGGGGCCATCCTGAGCCCTGCTCAGAGTGAAAGCGACGATGGAGGTAAAACTGCAACTCAAGAATTTCTCCATTCTCGGGAAACGATGCCTTCTGTTATGCCAAAAGAATGTTAGGGACAGTCGGGAGCAAGGCCAACCAATACCCACGCCGGGCTTCGCGCCGTGCATCACGTCGCGCAATTCCCACCTCTGATCATTCACGATAACATTATACTCACCATTCAACAGATAGCAAAAGTATTCTGATTTAACATTTCGTCGTGTCGTACCGGACGACTTATACCCCAATTTCCTTCCCGGCATCCCTCATTTCACTCATCAAAATTGGGCTCAACCTCTCCACCCACGTTGAGCTGCGAGAAACTCTGTCAGAGTTTGGCATGGGAGCCGCCTTGTAGAACTGGGTACTGGAGAACACACAGACATTGCTGGGCCAAAGAGAATCGATATTGGACATCTTATCATACTGGCTTGGCGCTCCAAATTGTCTCCAGAGGAAATGAAACGATTCAAAGGAAGTGCCAAGAGGTTGCATCATAACTACATGCGTGCTGTACCAAAGTCGCCCGAGCGGTATCCCATGGCTGAAATCCCAGATATAGACTAGGCATGGGAGGCAGGATGTATAAACGAGCAGAAGATTTTACGCTTCCAGTGGCAGTTTTGCATCCGTTATAAAGGTGGAGGAGCTTAAGTCCAAAAGTGTTTTTGCCGCGGAGATTCCTCATTTTAGGCAGTCCGATTCAATCGCAACCACTAGAAGGAGTTGGGAACTGCTAGTGAGCGAGTTCCGCAGGCTCATGAAGCTAAGACATGTAGGTTAAGTCATTGGTCCTGGTTTTGTCAGTACTGGATAGTAACTTCCGCAGACCAATATTGTGCAGGCCGTTGAGATTCTTCCAGAGAGGACACTTAACGAACCCCCGTACTTGATCATGGAGTGGATACCGCGTGATCTTCGTTCCTTTTCCCTCAAAGACAACGAGAAACAAGTTGTACTGGAACAAGTCAGCAACGGACTGTCCTTCATACACGATAATACATTCGCGCGCCGCGATCTCAAACCAGAGAATATTCTCATAGATGAATACGAAGGAGGTTTAGTCGTAAAAATAGCCGATTTTGGCATGTCTAAACTTGACAGAGTCGGAAATATGCAAACCTACGCAGGTTCATTTGTCTACATGGCGCCGGAACTTTGGGCGGAAGTGCACCGGGCTTGCACACGGGGTGATGGCACTTGAATTAGTTACCGACTGGGATTCTATTCTGAACGATTTCCCCATGACTGGGCCACCTGGCGCCGCGCAACACAACATGTGGGTAACTGGGTATATTATACCTCGCTTAAACCTGACCCCGGCCAAGTTTCGGGAGTTGCTTACCGGGTTGTTGGTATTGAGTCCTGGGGACCGGTGGACTGCATCTCAGGCTCGGGAATGGCTTCAGTATCTCCCACACGATATGGGCAATCAAGCTGAGGTTGCAAAGCATGGCGTCTCTTCTGTAGATTCTGACGGCGGCGCGAGGCGTGTGCGCAGTGCTCACCCAACCCTTTCAACAACACGAGCAGATAATGCTTCTTTAGCCAAGTCCTTGCTAGATTCGGAAATCTCCATGTCAGATACAGACGGCCGCAGCCCGCCATGGTTTCGGCTCACAAACTCAGACGAGGCAGAATGACACTGAACCTTCCAGTACATGTTTGTCGGCGTGCTCGGGTTGAGAGAGGACAGGCCGTGTCCGACGGTAGTGGACCTTTGCAGCATTGTTGGTGCGCTGTTAGATCTACAAAGTGGCTCTGATGGCCGGTCTGGCCACGACTTCAATGTCCTTATTGAGCTTGCAAATCAGCATCAACGAGCGTATATAGGCTGGTTTCTTGTGAGCTGCCCTCAATGCAATAAGAACCCGTCTCTTACTCCTCCACAATATAAATAAAAGTCGGAGATTTATCAGAAACATTACGCTTGGTCATATAGCTCCAAGGTTTCCACACATTCTGGCTGCTCCAGAAACCGCGATACATAGTCCTTCAACCGCTCTGAACCGAGCTCAACTGTATATTTGCTTTGCAAGATTCCCAATAATCTGGCTACCATCCCGATTGCTGCCAGTCTATTACCGAGACGATACGATGGAGCTTTTCCCAGGATGGAATAATATTGCTAGGATAAAGGTCGGAGTGTGTGAAGACGACGTCGGCGTCGTCCGGTACGTCCTGTCAGTACGGATCAGGTATATCAGCAGGGTCGACACCCGGCCAGTGCTGACTCTACCCTCTTGTCAGAACTGCGGAAAGCCGGGCGTGAAGCTCCTTCACGCTTGTGAAAGGACCAGCGCATGGCAGAACCTCATGCCCTCCAGTGTGGTGCCGGATACGAGCTCCATGAACAGGTAGGTCAAATTGCCATCCCGAGTCCAGCCATATATTGTAGGGACTGGAATGCTGGCTAAAGCGTGCCGTAATGCCCAGAGGCGCTGTCCGCAATGCCAACTCGCTTGCAAACTTGACGAGCAGGCCAAGTTGTTTGAGCGCAACTATTCGGCCTGATCTGCGGCTTTGGTAAGATGGTGCTCGGGCAGGGCTCGTCGCAAGTACTCTTGGAAGGCGTGGGAAACGCGGCATTTTCAAAATGATGCAAAAGTAAGGGTGAAGCTCTGAAATGGACAGAGTGCCCAGAGGGCAGCGACTTTGTTGATGTTGTATGAGATGATGCCATTTTCGCCATCATGGCTTCCTCTTAGGCTGGCGGCGCCGTGTTAGCTAGACGGAAAAGATTTGTTCAAGCTTTATCCGACGGCGGGATATCCCAAGGGCACTAGACAAGATGAGGTCGATCAGAGTATTGTACTGAATGCTCGTGGCGCCATGTGGCTCCGGCGAGGTTAGAGTTTGCTCCTTATAACAAGATCGCGAGAGGTGGAGATTACACAGCTAGAATTAAATCCAGAAACAAGTATATTATCATGGTTGCAAAAGATTATTTCGCCACTGATCTTGCCGGGAAAGCCTGGCAGGATCTCAGTACTAAGCTTGGAAGCAACCACGATGGACCCTACCCGCGGAACTAGTGAGTCAAGTTGCTGTCAACTGGTACCATGCCGCTGAGCTCACTCTCTGGAGTACTCTCCATACCAGTGCCAAATCCATATTCTATACTAGACCAGTTTGCTAGCATTTTGTAAGTGCCTGGACCGGAAATGATCAGGACTTTCCTGGAAGGAGATGAAACATGGAAGCACTAACCTCGTAAACCTAGGCGCCCAACAAAATTCCGATTGCTGGCGCTGATCCCGACCTAGACAATGGTAAGTTAGGTCCATTATGAGAGATATACACGACTACCCGCTTCACCAGCTTCAAGCAACCCGGTTAAACCAATGCACTGCTAAAAACCGGATGGCATGGGCTGTGCCCTGGCATTCACCAAGGCCTGCCAGTCACCTGTAGCTTCAGCAGCCTCTTGTTCGGATTTCCGAGGGTGCCACGATGTAGAGTTGGACACCGTCGGCAATCCTGGAAACAGCAAGGCGACGGCGGGGAGTCGGACAAGCAAGGGCAAGACGAAGGAACGGAGAGCGAACCAGAATCGCCAGATCGGACCAGACATTCTGCGCCTGGTCTCGCCACTACTTGGGATGCCACCGAGCGTTTGTGTTTGCTGGCAGACCTGTGGTGCGGGCGCATTCAAAGCATCTATACAATCACGATGCGAATGTCTCGCCACGGGGCGACAGCGGTCCAACCCGGTCCCGAAATCCGCCTTTGATATCCAATGGTGCACCTGCACAGCATCGTATCAATTGAACGCAACCAATGAATGGCAAGTGCTAGAAACGAGCGTGTAGATGACGCAACGGTCCTAGCTGAGTGTATTGACAACTAGTTAGGCGACCACGAGTATCTAAAAACTAGCAAGAGAATAAAGAGAAAGGGAGCAAGCAAAAAGAGAGCTCAACACGCGGTTAATCTCGCTTTTAGATGGGCCAAAGGCCAGAGTGCAAGCCGAGCCACATCAGGCCCAGCCCGTCACACAAGTAACCCCATGCCCCGGTCCTCAAGCATAGAAATAAAGGCGCACATGTTTGCAGCAATCCTCAATGTTTGGACGCAAGCAGGGTCTCTTTGCAATAGAGAAGCTAGTTGCTCATCCGGGCATTTGTGGGAAGCTGTTGCTCATTGCCCCTTAAGTTTCAAAACCTTAGAAGCACACGTGTAAACAGCCTTCCAAAAGTCTTTTTGCGAATTAAAGTTGTCAGGCTTCTCCTTTTGCTCAAAGATGCACTGCGTTATAACGGGATGGCACTCGTCCTCTGGCAGCTTAAACTGGCTGCAGATCATTTTCTCCACCCGTGCCTCTTCAGGCGAAACCTGAGGAGTGGACTGGGGCTTCTGGAGGTTTTTCTAGTTAGTATACTGTATATGTAAAAGTAATATTTTTTATTTCTTACCGTCTCTTGGGGCTTAGGAGTCTCCTGTGGGCGGGCAGACGCGTTGTTTTGTGCTGCAATTTCGCAGGTAATGTCGTACTATGCTCGATAGACGCATTAGAGAACTAGTGCGGTTTTTTTAAGAGGGGGGAGGAGAAGAAAGAGAAGAAGGTAGGACTTACAGACAAGGCCGCATCCTCCACCCGGCAATCTCCGCACTGAGGTTATTATACATCTTATTAGCAACTCTACGCAAGTATGTGCGTTCTTGTACTTACGCCGCCCTTTTCCTGGCAGAGAGGAGTAAGGCCATCGATCGTCAGCTATGTTAGGATAGTCTAATTAGTCGAATGTCTCTTATAAGACGGCTACGTAGTTGATACGAAATATCTTACGTCTCGGAACCCCTTCTATAACCCAAATATTAAATTAACGCACGAATAATAGTAGGTATAGTACAAGTGGCAATCTAGAGAGAAGACTTACCATGCTTGTAAAATCACCTTTACAGATAATTTTACTCTATTTTAATTAGAGTATTAGTTATAGGAAGTCTTATTTAAAAGAAAAGAAGGGGGCTAGTAAGGGGGATTTGGGATCTATATACTTCTCGTTCCTGACATTCAATCTGCCAATACTTGAATGCAGCTGAGATCTCTTGTTGCGTCTATAGTCGTTTAATTAGGTTTCTGCTAAAATAAACTTGATATACTTGTTTATTGAACAGCAGGATTTACGGACTGTAGCCTCCTGTTCGGCTAGATCCCAAGGCCTTTTTCGCGCCAGAGCCAGACTAGCGAAAGTCACAAATATAAATTGCGCGTACTTCATTGTCTCTAGAAGTTTCTCTAAGTAAATAGAATATTTGTTTAATAAATAATTAAGTGAGAAAGGTGCCTTGTCTTAATGTAGAAGTTAGTATATTGCTTACTTGAGACCCCAAGCCTTTATATATCACAAAGTTTCCCCGACTATATACAGCTTATATAATCAGTTTAAGGTAATATTGAGGCATTAACGTAATTATAAATTTAATGTAAATACATGTATTGATACAAGACTGACTCGTTATTACTCCACGGGCCTGACATTTTGGCTACTCGGGCCTGACTCTTACACGGGCTTGGCTTTTACTGTTTCTGATTCGCCCAAAAATTCTTGACCCGTAGGTACTTCCTTGCAAAAGCGGAGTAACTAGCTTCCCTGACAGCCCTTATAAACCGCCTTATATCTTCTATTACAGGCTTTTCGCGCACTCTTTCGAGCGTAAGTCTACTTTTTCGGAAGCCCGCGATCTATATTATTATTTTACGATAGTTGTCAGAACGAGGTAATTGTAATATAATGTAAATAGATTATACTATACTTATTTTATTGCCTAATAATTTATAATATAACTTGTATTTTCCTTTATTATTCTCGTCTAGTTCTAATTACCTCTTAGTCCCACGATAATCGTCCTTGCTATAAGCCGCTGGATTAACTAGCAGATTGGGTGCCTGCAGTAGGTCAAACAATACAAGTAAAGGCCTGGTACTTCAGGTCGAGGAGCAGTGTACAAAGTGACATGGAGCTAGAAGAAAAATTTATAACCAATGAGAAGTGGTAAAAATCAGGCCCGTGTAAGAGTCAAGCCCTGTCACAAATAGAGTAAATGGGGGCAGCATTATGTCTCACAACCTGATGTACCATAGCATTGAGTCAGCCTTTAGCTTTTCTGATCAGGGTTTTCTGGCGTCTTGTCCAAAGCAATGTGGGCCTTCCCCTCGTATTCTAGACTGGACGGTATAAGATTGCAGGTACAGAAGTCATGCAACTGCACCAGGCGGCAGTCAGACTTGACTCAACCTTAGCAATGTGGAAATAGACAGTGTAGAGTAGGTGGGGGGCCAACTCAATGCAAAATAAGTAATTCAATGCTAAATAAGTAATTCAATGCTAAATAAGTAATTCAATGCTAAATAAGTAATTCATGTAAACAAGGATTGCGCATAACGGTACGAGGCTATTTGTCCTGGCACGGCTATGCTAGCAATAGGTCATTTTGCTGCCGATTATGCATCATACGCAATGCAGCTAAGTAGAAGAGAAAGAGAAACAAGGTTTTGCCCCATTTACAAGGGGTCAATAGGACTCATTTGTCATGGCGAGGGGTAGGTTTTGTTATGCTGGTGGGCGAAAAGGCAAGTCCTCTTCAACGAGTTAACAAGGTAACTGATAGAACAGACAGCTCCTCGAGACCCAAGATGATGTCTTGTCGTGGGCATTCAACCTTGATCGCCAGGTACTATTTCTGCGCCATGGCTTCAAACTCGTTATTGTTAGATATGTACGTCCGCGAGGTCCGGGGCTAGGGGATCACTTCTGCAGTAGGGAAAAAGCCCTGAAATGACAGGCTAAAGAGGACAATCTTGCCACGCTGTTCACTAGCTCGGATGCCATCAATTGATCCGTTCGGAAGCCCGAGCCGCGCATCACCATCCCTCTGCTGTCCTTGGATTTATTAGCTCCCCAAGCAATTTGCTGAGCATCTCCAACCAACAAACGTACCGCTCACAGATTATCTCCAAGGCAGTTTGTCGCCAGCCTAGTAAAATCGCGGGTCCAACTTTTTACGCAGCGCGAGTTTCTACCACTTATCTCTATCCATCTCATCCCCTTGCCAATATGTATCACGACACCAGGCCTTCATCAGGGCGAGAGTATGTAAACTAGAGGTATAAGTGAAGTTAATTGACCAGCAGGCACATACGACCACAGCCGCCAGTAAAACTCACGATCCCGTCTGATCTCGCACGATAATCTGGCGAGCGCCGGATTAGTAGTTGGGTCGGTGACGACCAGCGAATACCCGGTGTTGTATGTTTTTTTTGCCTTACTGGACGAATCCCGTTAGTTCTTTTTTTCCCGGAAAGCCTTTTCACAATGCCTTAGGGAGTTATATACTAGCAAGTGTTTTTTTTAGATTAAATAAGTAGACGGTGTTTGCCAGGGCTCGCCTGCATAAGGTGCGGTCCGTAACATGGCATACCGTACATTACCATTTGCATTTGTAGGGGCCTCCACTTTTGGTGGCGTAACCCGTTCTGTTCAGAATACCTAAGAATTTCTTTCGATTTGATGAAGAGATATAGCCCTCCCGGTATTTTTGCACAGCAGTTATATAATAACCAGCAGCTATCTTGACTAGTTTCAGGATTAAGAATTCCTTTGCGTTGGTAATATCGGGTCACTGTAAGGCTTCTAGCTCTCAGCTCGGGCAGTTGGTGTTACACGGAAATGGCTGGTTACACAAGGGCTACGGTCACGAGACCTAGGGCAGAAGGTCCTCACCGACTTCTTGTATAAATAGACGGCTTTGGTCCCTCAAGGCCTTGAGGAAAACTAAGGACCTTTGATACCAAAGACTGTTATTAGTTGAATTGAGCTATTGCTCCAAGCCCTCTTTCCGAGCCCTTGTCACAGTTGGGGACCGCTTCTCCTGCCTATTATTTCGAGAGCGAGAACACCAAGGTCGTTTTATCCGAGAAATAAAACTGTTGCAAACAGGATACCCAATTGTTTATCAAGCCACTTTCAAGGCGAGGAAGCCGAGCATGTATCCTACTTGTCCATCAAAAAGGCCAAAAGGCCACGGGGCAAAAGATCAAGCTAGTAAAGGCAAATCTAGCAGTCAATATAGGCGTAGGGTTGGTCTATACAACATTTGATCTAATCCGCCGCTTTCTACATTTGGAACAACGATGGTTGGTTGAATGCCCAAGTAAGCATCTTCATGACGCTGTCGCGCCCGTCTGTCGGCCACACATACTGCAAGCAGATTTCTGCTTTCAGCTCGAGGGTGAAATTATTGGTGGCATTCAAATACTCACGAATCTTCTCTTCCGCAGATTTATCTCTCATTTCCAAAGCCACAATCTTGCAGCCAAGCCGCCAAAGTCGGTCAATGCCAAGGTACCACGCGGCCTACGGCGTTTAGTCTAGTTACCCATGAAATGAAAAGGAACAAAAAGGTCAAGGATGGAAATACGCGAAGTAGATCAGATATAAACACGTACCTGTGTGATTTCCATAACATGGGCCCTGTTAACCTGCATGTACTTCTGATCCCACATTCTCCGGGTGGTGGTGCGTGTGTCCCTGTGCCGCTTGCACCACTGAAAGACCTTCCGAAGGATTGATGGTGCCTTTAGCCTGGAATTCATTTTAGCAAATGATGTGGGGACGATAACGAAGTCAAGGTAGTGCACACATAAGGGAGTTGAGCTTCAGCAGCCTCTTATTCGGAGGACTTAAAGCTATACTAGAACTAGACTCTAGCTCAGACTAAATATAAATATCTTATATATCCCTTAAAAATAGGCAAGTTTTTTATCTAGGCTGTTAGCGGTTAGCTAAACAGGGAGTACAAGGTATATATAGTTTAAACTCTGGTATTACTAAAAATCCATAATATATATGTAGGGATCCGTATATCTGTGTAGTGTGTTCCAGGTATTGAACGGCAATTTATTAGCTAAGAAAGTAATAATATAGGGCAAGGTGCACGCAGTGGCCAAGTACTACCTAGGTTTCGATCGGTTGCTTTATTAGGTACCTTAGGCTGACGGAACACCAGATCTCCTCATGTGATCGATGATGCTGGGAAACGAATACATCCTTGTAATATCCGCATGGCATTTAGAACTCTGTTAATACTAGCGGCACTCTTACAATGATGGAATACGGATCTATACTGGCGTTATCTGCAGCAGCTACAGGCCCTGATAACTCCTATTTGGCATCAATGTGTCATTGCCGCTCATGATGTACAAGCGCTACCGGCACCTATTAGCCGACAAATGACATTATGAACATATTGGCCGTGCGTAGGCGTGCATGGCGCCCATTGAGATATTGAGTGATTTGCCATTTGTCGTGTTGTGTAATTGGAGTTCAACTTGACGAGCTCGGCCTCGTATGTTTACAAAATTTCCGCAGGCAAAGGGCTTGGCATTGTCGACTTGACGTATAAAACGCAGCCATTCGCTCCTGGTACCAAGGCTGCTTGCTTAATTAACATGTCCCAGTAATCTATTCTTCTCTGCTCAGCATCCATCATCTACACACCATGCGTTTCATCAACCCCATTGGCGTTGCGGCCGCCGCTGTTGCTGTGTTGGCATCACCGATTGAACCTGTGGAAAACAACACCGTCCTTCCACTGAAGCACGTCTCCTCAGTCAAGTCTGTCAAGGGTATTGTTAACAAGGGCCTGGCCCGCATTCAAAAGTTCAACGGCGTGAAGGCTCTTGAAAGCAATGATGCCAGCTCCGGTTCTGCTTCATACCCTCTGGCGGAGACTCATAACACAGGTGACTACGATCAAATGGCGCATCAAGCATCAGACCCTGGATCGTTTTCAGGCGAGAGTCCCATTGCCGTTGGACAACCTTCAAGAAGACTGATTTATTGAAGCGTCTATATGCGTTCCTGCCTTTAATATATACTTGCTGTATTTCTCAGATATTACCAACAACCCTCTCTTTTGCACGTTGTGCCTGGGCAACCAGAGCCCCTTGTTACCTTTGCGGTCTTGGAAGGTGAGAGTTGGGCGCGCAATGGCGGTCAGCTAGCACCAACAGAAGTAGAGTCCTATTGCTGGCATGTCCCGCGAGACACAGCATTAATAACTGAAGGGCGCAAGGGGCTAGCCGCTCCATGCTAGTTGCCCGAAGGCCCGAAAGGCCGAAGACCCGAATGCCCGAGTATCGAGGATCGAGGACAAAATTAAGGATCAATTTTTATGCTTCCTCGTGCTCGTACTATGGCGATATGAGAATAGTAGGGGGCCAAATGCATGTCACATCGTAGCGCACGAGTAATGATTCTGGCGTGATCAATTTACTGATGGTCGTATAATCTTCAGACGGCTTCATGCAGACAATACTTGCTAACCGCGCTAACAAAACCTCTTTGGATTTTTGGCACATATGATATTAATAATATCCAACAATTCCATCCACTCTGCTTGTTGAATTAATCAGTCCGTCTTATCCGATGCTATTTAGTCCTGAGCTGCAATAAATCCACCGGTAGCCCTCAACCAAGTTACATGTTTTGTAACGGTCCAAGCGGAGTGTATTGGCAACTAGCTAGGCGACTACTACAAGTACCTAAACGCTAAAGAAAGAGAAACAAAACAAGCAAAGAAGACTGCTCAAGAGCTCGATGCGTTGGTAATCTTGCTTGCATGTATCTCACGATGCCCCACTTGATGCCGGGCTCAAGTCCGTTATTGAGGTTAAATCGATGATTGTATCTTCTATGCATTCTTATCGGGCAGGGAGACAAAGTCTACCCTGCTAGGATGCACCGGCATAAGCTACTATTACCATAGCCGACTCTGCATTTAGCGCTGTTTTCATTTCACCCTCTCCGTCTGGTGTTCCCGGACTAATGATAGATTGACGGGCGGCCCGAAAAGTTGGGGCGCAGCACGAGTAGTTGCCATGTTGCATTGGGACCAAAATATCCGACCATCCGGTCAATGCCGGCCCGCTATGGTTAAGCGCCTAGCGCCCTACACCTCCTGTGTGACAAGGGCTCGATAGAGGGCTTGAAGCAATAGCTTAATTTAGAGATAATCTTGTAGAATGCCAAAGGTCCTTGATTTTGCAAGAGAGAAAAAGGGGGCTAGTAACTACTATGTATATATATAGGAAAAACAAGTGTACTTGGGGTCCCTTCCCAGTCAGGTATCTATTCTGTGTAAACGTGAGGTTTTTCGTCCTGATGCCCCTTTGTTCGGCTTTGTTAGCTGGGTCGAAGCCGTGTATTCTTCTGTTGGATTTCACAACGCCCTGTACATGTTGAAATTTCGCCGAGGCGACTAGCCTATTCGATGACATTGGAAGCTTTATGTAAGCAAGTTTATCTGCCTAGTCCAGGCTGGAAAATCCGAAACTCCAGGGCTTATTGCACGTAAAACCATACAAAAACCGTGGCAGTGCCGAGGACCTGCGCTACTTTGTAAAAGCCCAAAGTGCTCGGCTTTTATCAATATTCCCGTAATGTCAGGGTCGCTTGCTAGGATCTTTGCCATGCATTCTTTTCTGCGTCGTATGATCTAGACGCGAGTCATATGACGCTGTGATGCCGTCGGGGCCGTCTTGTCTGGAATCGTTTTCCGCGACCAGGACATGAGTCGAGATGAAGACAATTCACATACAATGGATTATATAATTCAAAGTCTTCATACACATGTAGGCGCGCGAGGATAAATACGCCAGGCTACCCATATAGCTTGTTTTATTTCTATACATCTTCAGCAAATACTACCTCGTGCTGTCTTATTCCTTTTTATTCTACAAGCCCATCTTTGGCAATCTATCTCCTTTAAAATGGTACCCAAGGCTGCTGTTACACTAGTTGTCGCGTTTTCTGCTGTCTTAGCAGCAGCAGCGGCAACTACTAATAAAAGAATTATTGGCGGAGAAGTGGCCAAGGAAGGCGACTTTCCATTTATTGTCCGTTTACAATATGGCGACGATACTTCGATATTATGTGGAGGAACTTTACTAGACAGCATAACAGTTCTTACGGCTGCTCATTGTAATCTCAAAGATATTACCAGCGTGAGAGCAGGGAGCCTGGTAAATATATCCTCTTCATATATTTTATTAGGCTACGCGGTTAGCTATCATGGCGTCTAATCACTTATGTGGCTAATAAAACGTCAATACGTATAAAGAGCTAATAATTATACAGGATAAAGACACAGGAGGAGTAGTGGCACAAGTTGGATCCCGATTGAGGCACCCGGATTACGTGCTTAACGGGCACCATAATGATATTGCTATCTTGAAATTATCAACTCCGATTCAAGCGAGCCAGACAATTGGCTACGCAAAGCTACCAGCGAGCGGCTTAAACCCAGTAATTGGTTCTACCGCAGTAGCTGCAGGCTGGTAAGTGCCATGAAGGGTATACTCAGACAAGACGCTAACTAATAGGCAAGGGGGTCAACGGTAGAATTACTTGGAACTGTATCCGACAAACTTCGCAGGGTCACTCTTCCTGTTGACGCTCCCGATGAGTGTTTTGACTTGGAGATTGATGCAGGTAAAGGATTTCAAAACCATCTAGATACAAGAGTGTGCGCTGGTGAACGGGGCAAGGATACAGGCCGAGGGGATAGCGGTGGTCCTCTTATTGACCAGGAAACGAGACAATTAATCGGTGTCACGTCGTCTGTTCCTCTTGGTGCTCAATATGGCCGCGGCTTTTATACTAGGGTTAGCAGCTTTATCCCGTGGATTAACCAAAATCTTGGGGACTCGGGGATTGATCCGCGCCGTGTAACGGGCTATATGTAGGCCCGAAAATGGCTCGGCTGCGCTCCTGCCTCCATCGACAAGCTGCCAATGGCCAACAAGCGAGATTAGTAGCAGCGAGCTCCTCCAGCTCTTTTCTCCTTCTTTCTTCTCTTCTTTAGCTTTTGGTATTCGGTAGAATTACCTCGAGCGCTTGTGTCGTTGTTTCCTCTCTTCTTTAGCTTTAGGTATTTGTTAGAATTACCTAGTCAGTTATCAATACACTCGCTAGACCGTTACACGCGGCACTACTGCTTGTTTATATCGTGGTTGTATAGTTGTGTAACTATAATTGGGGTTTAGCTAGCGCCCCTCGAGTCCGGATTTCACAGCCGTGTTCCAAGGCAACTGCCGGCGTATTCAAGGACACAGAATTCGCAGCGAAACAGTTTCTCCCTTATAGTTCCTGTACAGGTTAATATCAATACTTGACTCACAATCATCCCCATGTTTATTTAGTACCGAATACCATGTAGCCAATATCAGGTTTACCATTACTGTCTTGGCTATCCTTGCTGTATCGGCGACAGGCCAGGCTCCATATAAGTCTACTGGGGACCAGGGGTCAAAGGGGATAGTCTCCCATTATGGAAATATCACACTCGTTATCGACACGTTTATTCACAGATGGATGTTAATTGGACATGTAACCGAGACATCACTCTTTGTCGTAAATGAATAAACCCTCTTCTGGAAATTTTCTTCTGCTAAGTGTGTGAAAAATAGTAGTAGGGCCAGAGTGAAGTAAAACGAGTAATCTATTTCGGAAGCAAACGCACAAGCGAACACAAGGCACACCTTGCCAGAAATTGGTAGTGCTGCCTACAGCCTATATAGAAAGACAGTGGGGAAAAACCATTCCGAGGATTGGGTTACAAGGGGAGAGACTTTTGCTACAAGAACACAGCCTCTGCCAGGTCACAAAGTTGGGAAAACTCAAAAGTCACCACATCTCCACGGCACAATATTCTTGGCTTCCACCTACTCTCAAGCCAATTTATGAATAATAAAAACGGTATTCGGGCCGTAACTACGCATGCTCTCACGATTTGATACCATGCACTTGATGTTTCTAAAGCCAAGGTCTCAAAGATGTTTACTCCACACGGTTTCTGGAGGGCGCGGACAGTTTCCACTAGCAGCTCTGCACGGGAGCCATCAGTGTTTCTGCATTCATCAAGTGCGTTAATGACGATGAAGACTTTCGAATACAAAGAGACCACCGCATCGAGAGCACTTGAAAGTTGGCCAACAGACGGCCGCATATGCTCGGCCCTCAGGCAGTTGTAGAGAGACTTGACGCATTCCGGTACAGAGCGTCGGCGTTCCGCCAGCTGCTTTAATAAGCATTCAAGGAGGCTGTTCAGTTGCTGTTCATTTTGTCGATTGTAGTTGCAGTAGAGGTAGGCAACGCCAATATTCCTGTCACTCTGGGAGCGAGTAGTGAGATGCTCGACCACAACGGATGTGAGGATTGTCTTTCCTGCCCCGGGGGCTCCCGTACAAAAAAGCGTCTGCTTACTGGTTTTCAGCCACGTCTGGAATTTCCCAGACTCCAAAATCCATTGGCCCGTTCCTGGTTGCCGCTTGTTTGCAATGTCGCTGTGGTAACTGCCGTGGTCGATTTTTGTGATCCAGTTGAGAATCGTTTCATCTGCCTGATCACGATTCTGACATATGAGGTCATCAACACCTCTCGACATGTGCATGACGTGACCTTGAATGCCGGCGAGGACTATAGCCAGTCGGGTACAAGTTAATACACATGGCAGCAGAGCATACCAAGACACGACTGGCCAAGCTAGGAAGCTAAACGGGGAAAAGTTGCAAGCCTAAGCAAGTATAGCTACTCACGTTCCTCCATCTTGCCGGCCCATGATGGGGCTCCATAGACCTTTTGTGGTTTAAGGATATAGAGAAGCTCTCGTGCATATGCCGCCGCTGCGAGGGCTGCGTAGTTGTGCCATTCATCATTTTTGTGGGAATCCGAGTAATCGCAAATTCCTCGAATCACTAGGCAGGGAAAGCTGTTCATCAAACCAGCAGCCTCCATCTCAAAGCACAGGACATTCAGGGCTGGATCCTGGGCGTATTCGTCCCTGTCTTTGGCATTCTTCATGACCGAGTTGGCGGACGCAATAGTGCCATAGTGAACGGTGACGACGCGGTTGCTCGAGCGTGGTGGTCGTTGCACCACCTCACACGTCTCACACTTCGAACAGTCCTCTCCACCCTGGTGAGGGTAGTCGGCACGGTATAATCGATCGTCAGCCGGGCGTTGGTAGTCGGGCTCCTCGTCCATCCGCTTGACATGCTGGGCAATTCTGTCAGGCTTCCTCGAATCGTTGTGACGCCGTCGCATCTCTGGGAGAACCCCAAGCACCACCTGCGGAGGACCATTAAGCTGCCCGCTCTGTTCGAATCGCCCGCCCGGCAGGCGCTTCCCGAGATCATATTGCACAACACCCCCCAATTTGCCCTGCGGCTGACTCACCACAACATCGCCCAGTCGAATGTCCTTTCCCGCGGTAGGGGCGCCCCCTCCTATGCCAACCATCAGCGCCAACCTCAACTTGGGGAAGGAGCGGGACCATATCTCTAGTCACACTGGCGGCCGAGTTGGTGCCATACTGGCCGCCCGGCAGGCATCCCAAGATTACATTATGCCCACTGATACGACCATACACGTAGCTGTTGTTGTCGTTGACTTCAGCCGTATCTGGGCCGTCGAATTCGGCATCAAGCATTCGAGCCGCAGCATCATATTCTTCCTGCAAGGCACAAATCCAGCCGATGGTATAATCCTCGATGGACGGGTTTGACATTGTGGATAAGCGTCGACTTTATTGGTACTAGCAGAGTAAAGAACCTGATTATAAAAGTTCCACGTCTCCCGGGGAGAAAAGTATGCTCGTTGCAATACTAGAGAGTCCAGGTGAAAAGGGCACAAAGGCCAGCTGGGTTCAGCGATTCGTTTGTGATTAATACCCAACTCCGCCAAAGAACACCTGAGAACAGGGGACTGTGTTTTTAGACGCAGCCTGCCAAATCGGCCAAGGTTGGGCATCAACAATGGAATATGGAGTGCTGCTGCGTGAAGATGGCAGATGTACTACCGCACGACGCTTAGGAGCGGAGCACCTGTTACAGCAGATGTGGAATACTAGCCGTTATCAGAAGCAACGAGGCTGGCCGATCAGACCGTCGAACAAACCAACGGCCCAAATGTCGTAGATTGCGGGGGAGGGGTGAGGAAGACGACATGTCAAGGGTCTCGCATGTCGGCTGTCATCAGACTCGTCACCACTCGCATACCTTCGTCGTTGTGCTCCCTTTCTGATGTGAGGCTGCAGGCATAGAGAAAGAACGGAAGCTCTAGACATACAAAGTGTGAGATTTTGTAAAACTGAGCTGCATCGGTCCTAAACAGGGCAGGTCGGGACGCCTTCGATTGCAGGGAGAAGCAACCTAATGGCAGCTGTGAAGGCTCAATGAGATGGTCAGTTGGGCATTACACGGCCAATCTGCCGTTAAGTTAACTGCAATATTAGGTAGATACAAATCTGCGCGGGCACCAAGTTCTTAGGTGTATAACTACGACGTTGTGCGGAGATATTTTAACCCGGCTATTAATATTGCATCACCAGGGCGGCACGGAACGTCCCGAACCCGCTCATGCTCCACAGTGACGATCCCCTCCGGATAGAACAATTCATGTTGGCTTTGGCTACTCTTAATTATATGTAGGGCCCCTGCATTTCAACACGTCAAGTAGCATCAGGCCGTGCCAACCACGCACGCTGCTTTGATGCTGCCCCTCCTTTTCTCTCATTCTCATCTCAACCTTGGCCTCCGCTTCATCGATTGGTTTGATACCGATACCCTCTGCTAATATTCAGCACACTAACCGCAGAAATAGCTGTCGTGCCATACAGTATACCATACGGCCAACGGAGTACTTAGTACACATAGTCCGTTAGGGCTCCTGCGTGGTCACGCGTTCAGTCCGTGTAACCATATGGTCCTTTCTCGATGAAGCCCGGCCCCTTTGTTGGGCTTCGTTGTTGGGTCCTAACCGTGTAACATTACACAACACAGTAATTTCGCCAATAGGACAACATTCGCTGCTTCAAGGTTCACTTGAGATGAAGTTCATGCCTTTGAGACCACTGGCTATGGCCAGATCCAGCTACAAAAGCTAGAAGCCGAGCGCGGCTATGAAAAAGCGTCTGCAACTATGAAGGCACGTACCGCATCAAGCAGCCTTTATCCACCGTCTTCAAAGTCTAATACCGGTATGAAATACGAGTCAAATTCCAGCCATCGGGGCATCTTGTAATACCTTTGCTTCCCATTCGTTGTTTGGAAGTATTGTCTTGCACTATAGACAGAAAATAAACCACCAAAGATAGCCGGCAAGTACATAGGCAGACGTACTGTACTGTACACTGTTGCGTCTTCGTCGTTTTCCAGCGTGATGTGTAATGTGTAATGTGCATGCAAAGTGCGGATACATGTTCCTGCGGGCTTTATCAAGGTTTATCGGCACACAGCAGGTATTAACGACTGGCCCCCAAATACATAAAAGTGGCCAAAACGAATGAAATGCCTAGCATCGCGTCTATACAGATAAGTAGTGACACACATTGGTGGGGTGACGTTGTTGAACCCGGACACCATTCTTACAGCCGCCCATTGCACTCCAACCCTTTCGGTATTCCGAGCCCGTCTAGGATCTCCGGTACGTTTTGCCTTACCTATAGACCTATATTTTGTGTTTGGGAGCAAACAAACCACGTCAAAGTGACAGCTAACAACACTATAGAACTGGCTCCCTAGTCAGCGTGGTATCTGTCCAACCTCACCCCGACTACAACCCTTGCAACTCGGACATCGACACTATTGTCTGGAAAGTAGGCCCAGAGCAGGACGACGACTCGGCCGTCGACAAACCCACGCTGACTGTAGCTGGTTGGCACGAATCCGCTACTGAGAAGCCAGTCTTGTCACACACATTTTTCCATTCAGTCCAGGGGAAAGCTGACTTCAGGGAACACCGACTATACCGAGCTATTGCGCAAAGTATCGGTTCCGGTTGTAGTCCGCGACGCCAGCGCAAGAGCACTCTCGGACAACGTCGCTGTTCATAGACTAGGGACAAGTGACATTGCTTTGGCATAGAAAATGGTCAGATCCGCAGTGACCACATGGCCAGACGTGGCGGTGCAAGGCCAGCCCATCAAAGTACATCCAGATAGACGGGGTAAATCCAACAAGGCCCAACTCTCTCAGCCCCGTGACCCTTATTATTCGGTGGCCTCCGATATGTAGAAGGCAGTATCGGTAACAGCTTCACATCCCGTCCGACAGCACACAGCACACCAGCCAGTCCTGCTTCATAGAACAATCAACGCTAGATACCACTCTTCTGCGCTTCCAAGAGACAACAATTCAAGCACCCATTCCTACCCCGTGCTCAAAAACCAATCCCGTAGTCCAATCGAGTCCGCGTCCAGCCCACGTAATTCGTAAAAGTCATGACCGCCAAAAAAAAACCATCAAGCACCGCGCATCAACCCAGCGGCAAACGCCTCAACACTCTCCGTCATCAGATCCAGCACGCCGTCCTCGCCCCAAAAGTGCCCGGCGGAAGCGACTTCGCGAGCGGCAAACAGCGACCCCTGCCCCCCCAGCCTGGCCACCCACGCGCGCAGCCTAGCCACCGGCACAAAGACGTCGCGGTCGCCAAAGACGGCCAGCGTCGCATTCTCCACGAGCTTCCTCTCCCCGGCGTCGACGTCGCGGCGCCGCCCCGCGCGCGGCCACGGCAGCAGCGCCATGGTCGCCAGGTGCGTGACGACCCCCTGCAGCGGCGACACGAGCAGGTACGCCGGGCGCGGGCGCAGCA